CAGTGAAACATTTTGGCAGCATGATAGTTTTGACCACTTTAAAACAATAAGAATATATTTATATTTCACCGTGATTTGATTGTCTACAAAGTTTTAGAAGTATTATGTTATTAAATTTTTGTTAGAATTCTAGAAAGGCTGACACTAGAAAAATATTTTTAAAATGTTTTTGATATCAATTTAATATGTATTGTATTTAACATGTATTTCTGGAGTCCAACACAAGACTGACACTATGGTCTCTCAAATGGTATAGCATCCCAAAAGATAGGATTTCAGGGTGCATTCACTCATATACATACAGTACTATTTTCTTCTTTGAAAATTTTACCTTGCACTCTTTATATAAGAGAAGTCTAAGGAATTAGTTTATATAAAGGGAAGCACAGAAATGTATTTGCCCAGCAGTTTACATAAAATTGCCTATCAAACCATGGGGAAGAGTAGCTATAAATGAGATAATTGGGGGATTGTAGCGTTAAAGCATCTCCAAATTTCCCCATGGTTGCTGTATTTCCTAAGAAGTATCTGTAAAATCACACAAATAATATACTAGTGACATACTTTAACAGTCATTAAAATAAACACATTTATGCATCACCTACAGTCTTGAGTTGTACCAGGAGTTTTACACAGTGTGCCTTAGAAATTACAGTTATAGAAGACTTCAGTCAGAAATAGCTGACTCTAGAAAGAAAGTGCTGATGGCTATTAGTTGCTGCGAGCAAGGCAGAAGCAAATCACAGAGATGCAGTGAGGGAGAAATGTCTTCCAGAAGCAAAATATGTATTGATATCACATTCATGTTTACATCAAACATATATGACACAGGGCTTTGGCTGCTGAAGGCCACTGTCATCACTTGCTAGCCTACCTCATCTTACGGTGTGCAGCATCTGTGTCTTTAAAAAGCTGTTCCATATCAACTTTTGTGCTGGAAGTTAAAAATTGGAATTTTCCTCACGGGGGAGTAAGAATGGGAAAAGAAAGAGGTCTTCTGTGATTTTTACCAAAAACTCCCAATGTTAATTAAAACCATATATTTAGTATGTGTAAAGGTAACAAAATAGGGATGTTATTTGGACAAAATTGTACTCCTCTGTGAATTCAGATTAGCAATGCTGTGTAACTGGCTGACTTTTGGACATTCTGTTCTATTTGAAACAGCTGGGACAGCAAGGAAGGCTGTATGTCCTTCAGAAACTCAATTAGGCCGGATGGAAAAGAGGCCATGAAATGTTTCTTTAGTCTGCAGAGAGTCAGTGAAAATGTGTTAGATGCAGCTTGGAACTGAATTCTAACTATAAACCCTTAGATCAGGCTTTGTTCAATTAGCCTGGTCAGCTTAGTGTAATATATTACTGCATCTGTATATTACATTATGTTCTTATAATTGCGCATGTTCTCACTACTCAGAATCTCAACAGGTTTATAGAAATCTGATCACTGTTGTCCTGGTGATTGCCTGGGAATAAACAGCAGGTCAGCTCTACACTTGGACTGAATGAGAACTCGACTTGTTCCCCTCCTGTTAAGCTTCCTCCCCACTGCTGACGTGTGCCCAGATGCATCACCGCTTTCCTACAGCAGCAACAACAGCACAAGCTGGTTGCCAACAGGGCTCTGCTACTTCAACAGTTACTTGTCTGTCGACAGCAATACCGTCAGTTTTACAAGGGAAATGCTAATAAAAGTCCTTTGCCAAACTAAGATGTGGTGAAAACTTTTCCCTTTCCCTTGTCGTCACAAGTCTCCATCCAAAGAACGCCCTAAGCATCTTCCTCTCCTCTAATACCAATGAAGTTTAGAGGAGCCACTTTTATTCCACCTACACGGTTCTCTGCACTACCAGTGTTTGTATAAAAGCTGTAAACTCCCAAGGTCTAAAAAGATTTCCCTTATTATACTTTTCTCTTGAATCCCTAGCATGGTGCTTTTTTTTTTTTTTTTTTTTTGGCAGAACCAGGGATTGAACTTAGGCCCTTGCGCTTGCCATGGAAGTGCTTATTCCACTGATCCATCTCCCCAGTCCCCATGGTGCTTTTTCTACTAGAATTTCTTTATCAGTATTTAACTGTTAAGTAAAGAAAAGAAAGTACTTCATATAGCATGTAAAACAACGAATATTATTCTCATTATTCTCTCTCTTCCTAGACCAAAGGCTAACACATATTTCTAAAAAAGGGCCTGATAGTAAAACTTTCGACTCTATGAGCCATACAATTTCCTGTGTACTACTCAATCCTATAGTGAAGTTGTATCCAAAGGAAGCCACAGACAGCATGTGAAGGAGTATGACTATAGTCTAATAAAGTTTCATTTACAAAAATGCAGTTGGCAGGTAAGGCTCAGGCTATGGGCAGTTTGCTGACCTCTGTTGTACAACAACTGTACAAGAATTATCCTTTAGAATAAAGATGATATGACAACTATCCCTCCTTGAAGGCCATGCTCTCTGCATCCTTATATACCTGTCCTCCACCTCCCTACTCAACAGCTAGTGTAGAGTTTTGGATTAGGATACTGAAATATGCTTAGTTATTGAAAATGAATTCTACAGTAACTGATTTCCTGGCCACACATACAGCTTTAAGCAGAACCACTGAATTGAAGTCCTGGTAATATATCATTTTTAGAACTCTGTGGTAGAAAATGTAGGAGCACTTTATAAACTGATGAAACGATGTCTTAAGGAACTGATGCTATACTAAATATGTAGCTTCTCTCTGTGCAGCTCTAATTTCTCTTTTTGTAGTATGTCTTAGCATCTCAATGATTAAACTGAGACAGTTAATAATTATCCACAGGGTCAAGAAATGATTAACCTTTTATAACCCATCTAACCATAAGCTTCTTTAGAAGCCACTTTGCCTCTGAGTCTCTTTTAATAATTTAATTTCATTAAAAAATCGCCAAAAAAATTGGTATCTACAACTAATAGAAAACGTGGTTCCACATATCCACTCCAATGACTACAAAATATACGATAGTCCCATGAGTTTTGGGTTGGGTTAGTTACTGTAGCAAGTTAAGCAGTCATCAATGAATATGAAAAAGGTGTAAAATGCTTTGGTAATATCACTGTGGAACAATGCCCTTATAAAGCATGTTTTATGTCCCTTCCTACCCTTGTACTATCTATTTGCTAAGCTTTGAGACTTGCTTCTCACTTTGCCAAGTGTTGGCCTCTCTTACAAGCCAGCTCTGATTTTGTGTTCAGCTGCAAATGTGATTTTTGAAAAGAACTTCAATGAGTTTACTTGCTGAAAATGTTAAACATTCATAGCCTTGCCACTTTCTGTTGTGGAAACGGCAGTGATTTACAGCCATTTGGGCCCACTAGACAGCACCGACTCACCTAATACTAATATAGCTGCACTGGGAAATAACATGTCAATGTTTCACTTGCATCTAGACCTCTGTTAAACTAAGAGGTATGTGTTGTGTTTCCGTACTTCTGGAGAAAACTAACTACTACACATTGAAATATAATCTTACATTTGTGATTTCTTGAAAGTTTAGGGCTAGGAGGGCTTAATGTAAACTGTGATACTACACCAGTTAAGTACAAAGTTTACAAAGTCCATAACCTTACTTTCTTCACTAGTAAATGAAGAAACATACTGATTCCAACATGGCAGGCCTGCTGTGAGGATGAAATGTGACAGCATACATCAGGCACTTAACACCCACAAAAGGGCGATTTCATGCAGCTTGTTCTAATACATGCTCAATAATTAGCTCTTGTTGCCTAAACTTCATTTTTCTGCTGAATTATAAATCTTTGCTTATGCATAAGGGACCTGATAGGAATGCTGGAGGACAACATAGAGAACTTAAGCACTGCCACATGAGACAACAAGCTTCCTTCTACAGTCAATAATAATATTATATCTACAGTCAATAATGCTTATGTGTAAAAACAAAAGTAGAAAGAAACAAAGTCATAAAAAGGCATTTTCTTGAGAAAGCTGTCAATAATGTCACATAATTTAATTTCTGTTTGGGATGGAGGATATGTTATGTTGATTACAAGCATGCTAAGGAAGCCTTATGTCTTTATATCCACTGAGTATTCTATTATATTCCTGGGAGGGATGAGTCATGGAAATAATTTATTTGGCTATAATTTTTGGATACATACAGTGTAATGAATACTAATAAATATTAAAGTTTATAAAGAAAGAATATTTTGTTTTTGGGGGAGAACTGTCTTTGAGTGAACATCTGAATACAGATGGAGTCTCTGTAGGTCAATGTTTTGGACAAGAGCCAGTGTTGTCCTTCAGGAGATATCCACCAAAATCAGGAGACATTTTTGGATGTCATCACTTGGAATGTCACTACTAAAATATAGTGGGTAAACTAGGGATGCTGCTAAACATGCCATAATGGATAACAAAGCCTCTAAAACAAATTACTGGCATGAAATGTGAAGCTACTGAGGTTGAGAAACTGTTTTAGGCTAGAACTGTTAAAAGCTAAATGGGTTTATCATCACCCGCAGATGAATACTGGGCAGGCCAAGGGAATGAGATACGCTTCGTCAATATGGTCAAATTTTCCCATTATATTGGTTCCCTGTATACACATCATAAACTAATGTACAGCATGGTTTTCACACAACCAGGAGAAAATGATTGAAAATGCTAAGACTATGGTTTACCAAATACTGTGTGTTATTTGACCTTTAGGGGACTTCAGTGCCAACAGTAGCTGGATGTAAACATAGAGGAAACTCACTTCAAGATTTTCACCACTGAAGTGACCAGAAGTTTTCTGGCTCAAGACATCTGGAGCAGCATTGATTCCCAAAGACAACACAGAGTGTAACAGTGGCACAGACTTACAGCTTAGTTCCCACACCAAAACTGATAAGCATAATCTTTAAGGAAAATGTTTCTTTCACAAGGTCCTTACATAAACACTGCAAGGGCTTAGAGGGTCTAGGCTTAAATATGGATAATGCTGCAAAACTAAAAATGTAGAAAGAATATTACCTTCAAGCTTTGGATTCTGTACCTGGTGTCATCTTGGCACTGCTTCAGAGAATCTCTGTGAACTCTGTATTTACAGCATCTCCCATCAATTCTTTCAGATGAATAGCGGGAATCCTGGGAAAAACAAATAAAAAGAGTCTAACCTGGTAGATGAAAGAAAAATCAGCGCTTGCAGTTGGTGTAGAAAATACAGACATGCAGATAACAAATGATTGTGGTCATTTAGAAATATATATATATAGTAGAAAACAAGCCACAAAGAAAAAAAGAAATTGATCACTGTATCCGGGAACATAAAATGGGGCCCCTCCTGGCTAGCTATGTTTTCTTTACAGCTATTCCCAGGGCCATTCTGAAATGGTGGGCATTCATTAGCTGAAAGGAAAAAGGTTTGACTGACAATTAGTCATCTGAACATGGTCATTAACGACATAATTTTGGATATTGAATATTGTGTTTTGAAACAGCACTTGGCATCAAAGATTCTCCTTACTACTTTTAAAACTAAAGCTCTTCTATGCCACTTAGTCATAACATTCTGTTTTTAAACTTAATGTCATACTCACTCATTTTTAAATGGAAGGATATCTCATTTGCCTTCACAAGCACAAAAAAATTCAGGAAATAAAGTAAGAAACTAAAAATTTTCAAGGCCACTTGTTTTTCCCTTTCAATTTTTGGAGGAAGAAGAAACAGCACAGAATCAGGATAGCCACTTATTTAGGTATTACTTTCATGATCTACGGAGAAATTAGGAAGAAAAATAAGAGGGCAACTGATTTTGGTAAGAAAAACCACCTGTGGCATATAGTTCTTCAAATAGTTTAAACCCACTGAATGGTCAACCAGGATGAGAGTAAGAACTCCAAAGTTCTTACTTTTACATGAAAAAAATGAAACTGATGGAAGTTATGAACGATCTGTCGAGAGCTAGGCAATCTGTGATAGGTTGGGCGTTGCAACCCAGTGTTATGCCTTTGCCATCTTACCAAATGTGTTACGTATGGGAGATGAGCACTCGCAGGTGGCAATGAAAGAAGAATGAGAAGAGTGACAAGAACTTAGGGCTCTGCCCACTTGTTCACAGCCTGCTAATTTTTATAAGGTTTTAGAGTTTTGAAAAATAAATCTATCTCTATTAATCTAAAGGTTTTTTAGATTTTCACCTAATGCTATGTCTATTTGTTTTCATGAAAGTGCTTTAAGCGAATGGGTTTTAAAAGGTGGTAGGGAGGGGTTGGTGAGATGGCTCAGTGGTCTAAAGCACCTACTTAGAACAAGCTTAGCAAAGCACAGGGACCGCAGTTCAATCCCCCAGCACCACATGCCAGACAGCCCCGCCCCCTGGTGGGCTGAGCTGGCCACACACACACACACACACACACAAATAAATAAATAAATTTAAAAAAAATAAAAGGTGGCAGGGAAATTAGAAAGAATTTGATCCATTTCCATCTAATTTATATACCTTAAGCTTCATTTTACTCTTTTGCAAAACAGAGAACACAATCCACATAGGGTATCTCTGAAGATTACAAAGCCTGTAATGTATTTAGCTACTGTTTGCTGCATAGTATGTATACATTTGCTAATTCACCTCTTTCCCTTTTCAAGTTGAAGCTTTCATTTTTAAATGCTAGAAAGTACAGTTCTGAATTTTGAATAAAAAAATCCTTACAATTTCACTGCAAAGGCATTTCCATCTCAGTTTCTTTCTTCTATCTGCATGAACTGTAGATAATTTATGTTTTCAACATTTGTGTAAACAGACTTGTAGATAATTAAGTACTTGATGACTACTTAGGATTAAAATAATGGGGGCTGGTGAGATGGCTCAGTGGTCTAAAGCACCTACTTAAAACAAG